ACATCTCCAGCAATCCCCCCTTTACTAGCCCAGTCCTGCTATATACCGCCTAGGTCAGTGGTGGCGAACCTATGGCACGGGTGCCAGAGGTGGCACTCAGAGCCCTCTCTGTGGACCCTCTCTGTGGGCACGCGTGCCATCGCCCCAGCCAGGCCCAGACCATTATTAAAGTGTCGAATTCTCTGCCAAATAATTTTAAGTCAGTGAAAGCATTTGGGATTGCTTTCCTTACTTTGTTTGGATCATCTTAAGTTAATGTACGGGTTGTTTGTTCTAAAATAAAACCTCAGCATTCAGGTCATATTGCCGTGTTGGCACTTTGCGATAAATAAGTGGGTTTTGGGTCGCAGTTTGGGCACGCGGTCTCTGAAAGGTTCGCCATCACTGGCCTAGGTCATGGTGAGTCTTTCAAAAGCATTCCAATGAGCCTTTGGGAAACATACTCGGAGCCTCCCCCTTTAAAGACAGTTAATTTAATCAACTGTAATTTAACCGCCCCCGTAAAAATTTAAATGCCCTCGAACAAAAAGAGTCCTGGCTATGGGCCTGCCACTGAGTCATGACCAGGGGTCATTTCGTAGGAAAAGAGGTGCCGGAGCTCATTAGCATAACTCATTAGCATAACTTGTTTGCATGTTCCACACCCCCTGACATCACCAGACGTGTGTCAGAAGGCAACACCCACCGCTCAGGCTCCACTGGACTGTTTTGGATTGCTAGCTTTTTTGGGGGGGGGGAAGGGCAGACCTGTCCCCGCAGAGGAGGGAGAGCTTGTACCTGAATAAAACTTGGTCTTAAAGGTGCCACTGGACTGTTTTGGACCTGTCGGCTGGGGGAGGGGGCTCCGCAACTTTCCTGGCTGCTTCTCACTCTGCCTGAGGGCTGCTGGGAGCAGGGGGTGGGGCTTGTTGCATGTGCCCGCCCCCTGGGCTCTTTACTGCCGGAACTCCACTCCTGTGCGCTCCTGCAGGAAATGACCCCTGGTCATGACCCCTCCCCCACCTTGAACTTGTGCTGCCCCAAGCAGTGATTGGGCTGGAGAACCAGCCCTGAATTGCTTTCTTAAAATGCAGCTGTTGGAAGCAGAAGGGGGTTACGGCAGAACGATGCAACAGGAAATTGGGATTCAGGCCAGACAAGCCAGATGCAGGTCTTGTTCCCCAGAAACGGTACAGACTGTTTTTCTGCTGACATGCTGATCAGCACCGGCTTCGCGTGCATCGATTCATTAGGCTCTTTATTTGAACAGATGAGCCGACGCGGAGTGCGCTCAGTCTACAGATTTCAGCAGATCCTTTGACATGAGTGAAGAGAAACCCTCTCCGTTCCTTGGAACTTAATTTTTGCCATTCTCTTCATGTGTACTTTAGTCGTTGGTTCACTTTTTTTTGCAAAGGAAACAGCCTTGCTGAACAATAAGATTTCAAGTTTTTCACACTGAGAAAATAAACAAGTCAGGACAGATGGCTGTCGCTATGCCGGGGCCAGGGAATAAAAGGAGCAAACGGGTTAGCTTTGGCAGATTGTGTTTTGAGATTTTGGGGATCCTCAGCACAATTGCAGGGAACCAGATTCTTCAATCTCATGGGACATGAGATTTCTGATATATCTTTCAACATCCTTATTTGGATGGAAAGGAGGGATTAAAAATGTTTTAAATAAAATGATCCCCTCTGAGTCCTTACCAGTCAGGCCCGTAGCTATGGTGGGGGTCTTGGGGGGCTCTGCTCCCTTTCTTAAAGTCACAGCCCCACAAGAATTTCTCCTATAAATGCTTTTTTCAATCAAATCTCTCACTCACAACTTTAATGCCAGCAGCTCACAAAGTAGAGTTTCTGCTCACAAGACTCCACAGCTTAGAGGGAGCATTGCCCACAAGCCACAAAATCCTGGCTACGGGCCTGTTCCCGGGATTTATTCAAGCATTACTCACCTGCTTCGCCGACATGTGATGGAGACCTTTTCCTTCTGTTTCTGCTCCACATTATCTCTGGACTGTTTTGATGCAAGCCAGATGAGATCCCCTGGCCAACAACACAGGCACACGATTACAAGTTATTCACATCATCCCCAGATAAAGGAAACCATTTCCTGGAGGCTTCAACGACTCACCTGGTGAGAAGCTGCTTCGACCACCTTCAAGCGGGGAATGAGGTCCCTGGGCTCTTGGATCCGGTCCAGAGTCCCCAGCGACATGGGGAACGAGGTCCTTGACTGGACCCTGCAGTTCAACTTGCTGCTCAGAAGGGCAAGTTCTGCTTTTAACGCAATAACATGGTAAAGAGAGACAGCTGTCAAGCACGATGATGCAAGTGTCACAAACCCCAGAGAGATCAGCAAGAGCATCCCCCGGTGATCCAAGCCGTTCCCAGGAGGAGGAGGAGGGGAGCAGGAAGTATGGCCTTTTCCTCGAGCACAGCTCATCGATTTCATGACACCTCCTTTAGCAAAGCCAGGTGGGAGACTTCAGAGCTGCTTCTCCTTCTGGGGAGGAATATCTTTCGCCTCTTGCATCCAAGATGTAGTGGCCCCAAATTGCCCACAGCACACAATTTCCTGTCATGTGGGTCTCCTGCTGCGAACATTGCAGGCCATGTACATCATTTCTGCTCTGTGGCTTGACGAGGATCGCTGTCTCTTGTGGTTCCGTCACCCGCCTTCCTCATTTCAATTTCAGTTCGTTTTATGCCATTTTGACCTTGCTGCTGGTTCGGCTATGTGGCTAGGCTCCCTTTCTTTCCTTTCTCTTCCCTCCCCCTCTTCTCCTCCCCCCCCCCCCCCCCACGCGCGAAGTCGAGCCGTTGACTGTTCGTGTGACAGGTGTAGGATCGTGCAGAGAAACTTCATTGTGAATTTGACTTTACATGGAAACTCCACAGCTTCTCCCAATAATACAGTAGTTTCAGGAAATTCTGTTGCAATTACAGAAATGGATGCAGGCTTCAAGTGTGGAAAGATAGGCCTGGAGAGACAGAAATTTGACTGGGTTCCATTTGAACCATTTTTTAACCACTTGCTACAGGCTCAGCCAGATTCCTTCTGACCATTATGTACTGCAGTATGGTTCAGTTAGACCAGCTGGCCTTGCCTGCTTCAAAGTATTTTCTTCCTCTTCTAAATATTTCAGATTAGAGAGTGTGTCCTTTGAAATAGACTACCTTTCTGTTTTACATATGTGGGAGCATTTATTTATTTACTTTATAGCCTGTCTTTGTTTCTGAGTTTTAAGATGAATTACAGAATATAAAATGATGCAATCAGTTGCCATAGGACTGGCAATGGACAATACAATAGGACTAGGATTACAGAGTTAGAAACAATGTGACTAACAAACTATCTGTCACCAAATATACTGTAAACAGCAGAAAGTGGAATTACAAAAGTAGAAGACAATACAGTAAAAGTAAGATAATCCATTAAAAAAAAAGATCCTCCTATTCAAAGACGACAACCTGGGCTGCGCATTTTGAACAGCTTTGAATTCTGATTGCGCTCTAAGGCGGCAGACTGAGTGGGAACCCCACGGCAATACTGTCAGTCTCTTCTACATGCCAAACATGCCATGGCTTCGATATTTTCATTTACCTAGATGAGAACATAATTGGAGCCCTGCTGGATCAAACCAGTGGTCCATCCGGTCCAGCATCCTGTGGCCAACCAGTTACTCTAGAGGGCCAATAACAGGGCTTAGAGGCCAAGTGAAGATCTTCCCCCAATGTTACCTCCTAGCACTGGTATTCAGAAGTTTACTGCCAACCAGTACAATGGCCAACCAGTTATTCTAGAGGGCCAATAACACGGAGGAGAAGGAAGAGGAAACTGGATTTATACCCCACCCTTCACTCGGAGTCTCAGAGCGGCTTACAAACTCCTTCCCCTTCCCCTCCCTACAACAGACACCCTGAGAGATAGGTGGGGCTGACAGAGCTCTGACAGAAACTGCTCTTTTCAAGAACAGCTCTGACAGAACTATGGATTGCCCAAGGTCATCCAGCAGCCGTGAGTGGAGGAGTGGCAAATCAAACTCAGTTCTCCCAGATTAGAGTCTGCGCACTTAACCAATATATCGAACTGGCATAGAGGCCAAGTGAAGATCTTCCCTCAATGTTACCACCTAGCACTGGTATTCAGAGGTCTACTACACATGGAATTCACTGCCACAGGAGGTGGTGGCAGCTACAAGCATGGACAGCTTCAAGAGGGAATTAGATCAGCATCTGGAGCAGAAGTCCATCAGTGGCTATTAGCCACAAGCAATGCTCCCTCTAAGCTGTGGAGCCTTGTGAGCAAAAATTCTACTTTGGGAGCTACTGGCATTAAAGTTGTGAGTGAGTGATTTGGGTGGTGCATAAATTAGTTTGCTCTGGAGCCATCCTTCCTGAGCTAAGACAAAAATGTGTGAGCCAGAGGCTAAAAACTGTGAGCTAGCTCACACTAACTCAGCTTAGAGGGAACACTGGCCACAAGATATAGATAGGAACTCTCAGGCTGGGGCAAGTGATGCTCTGTATTCTTGGTGCTTGGGTGGGGGGCAACAGTGGGAGGATTTCTAGTGTCCTGTCCCCACTGGTGGGTCTCCTGATGGCACCTGGTATTTTTGGCCACTGTGTGACAGAGTGTTGGACTAGATGAGCCATTGGTCTGATCTAACATTGGCGTCGCTTATATTCTTACCTCTGATTGTGCCTTTAATCCCCATGACTAGTAGCTACTGATGGATCTATTTTTCTAATCCCCTTTTAAAGCTATCCAGTGCTTGTCACCACATCTTCTAGCAGTGAATTCCACATTTCAACCACTTGTTGAGTAAGGAAATATTTCCTTTTGCTCTTCTTGAATCAATTGGTCATCAATTTCATTGAGTCCCCTTGAGTTCTAGTATTTGGGACGATAATGTAGGTTAAAATTCAGTGGGAAAGTTTGTGAAGACTTATTTGGTGTCAGATATTATAAACCTTGTTCAAGAGTTGTCTTAAGTGAATGGGTAGAAATAGAATAATCAGAAATGCGATCATCATCAACAGAAGTTGATCAATGGGATTTCGTATTATGTAACGTAACGATTAAGATTAGATCTGTGGTTCATACTTTAAAAGGGAAAGGTTCCCTTGCTCGAAAGCCAGTCGACTCCGACTCTAGGGTTGCGGTGCTCGTCTCCGTTTCAAAGCCGAAGAGCCAGCGCTGTCCGAAGACGTTTCCGTGGTCATGTGGCCGGCATGACTAAACACCAAGGCGCACGGAATGCTGTTACCTTCCCACCAAAGCTTATTTGGTGTCAGATATTATAAGCCTTGTTCAAGACTTGTCTTAAGTGGATGGGTAGAAATAGAATCATCAGAAATGCAATCATCATCAACAGAAGTTGATCAATGGGATTTCGTATTATGTAACGTAACGATTAAGGATCTGTGGTTTATACTTTAAGGTAAAGGTTCCCTTGCTAAAGTTCATACTTTACTCCATCTTAAAAACAGAGTAACAAAACAGGATGATTCTCAGTTACCCAAGAGCACGATATTAATAGTCCAGGGTAGCCCGATCTCGTCAGATCTTGGAAGCTAAGCAGATTCAGCCCTGGCTAGTATCTGGATGGGAGACCTCCAAGGAATACCAGGGCCGTGACATGGAGGCAGGCAACGGCGAACCACCTCTGATCGTCTCTTGCCCTGAAAGCCCCACCAGGGGTCACCGTAACTCAGCTGAGACTTGACGACACTTTCCACCACACCACACAATATTAAGCCATTTAATATGGGCCTGCAAGACGGAGCTCTTCCGCCAGGCTTTTGAGTAGGAGCCACCGCCCCACTATACCATCACCACCATTGCACCTAGAGGACGTTGCGAGGCCCTGAGGAAGAACTTGGGAATGGTCAGAAGATTCTGGAGAAGAACTGAGCTGAGCCATCTTGGACTTATGTTTAATAATTGATTGAGCACCAACCAGGGTCGTGACGTGGAGGCAGGCAACGGCGAACCACCTCTGATCATCTCTTGCCCTGAAAACCCCACCAGGGGTCACCGTAACTCAGCTGTGACTTGACGACACTTTCCACCACTCCACACAATATTAAGCCATTTAAAATTCTTACAAGTTCTGGTCATTGCAGATTGGATTATTGAAGGATCTTATCTCAGTTGTACCTTCCATACCACAAAACCCTAAAAAGAAAAGGCATTACCTGTCCGACAGCAAAATTTATTCCCACGTGAGCTCTTGCGAGTCAGAGCTTGCTTCTTCCGATGCATACTGGAAAGAAGATCCTATTGTGGGTCTTTATAAGGAAAACTACAGAAATGGGGGGAAAGGAGCAGTTGGCAGCAAAGCAGGCTTGCCAACCTCCAGGTGAAGGCTGTAGATCTCCCGGAATTACAACTTATCTCCAGATTATATAAAACACTTATTTATTGAAAACATTTATTCCACTTCTCCTGGAGAAAATGGCTGCTTTGGAAAGTGGACGGTATGACGTTATACCCCACTGAGATCTCTCCCCTCTCTAAATTCCACTCTCCTAGGTGCCACCCTCAATCCCCAGGTATTTCCAAACCTGGAGTTGGCAACCCTAGAGCAGACAGAGTCTTGGTGTGAATCCTGGTGTGATTTTCTATGCAAGGAACAGGAATAATCAGGTTGTTAAATATAACAGATGATGAAAGAGATCAGAGGTTCCAGTTTCTCTCCCTTGGGGTACAGATTAGACTTGTGTATGGGAGTTTGTTTCATTTCTTCCCTTTTGTTATTTCCAAAAGGGACTGTATTGCTATTGGACTGTTTCATATGGTTTTCTTTGTTTCTTTTGTTATGCTTCTTCATAATTCCAGTTCATTATTATTGCCCATTTGGTTTCCATGGAAGACATATGCACTCTTTTTCTTGGGTCTGTACCTTCACGGTTTCCCATCCAAACTGGGAAAAACTCAGAGGGGCTGTAGACAATGTTCCCTCTAAGCTGTGCAGTCTTGTGAGCTACTGGCATTAAAGCTGTGAGCGAGCGATTTGGCTACTGCATAAATTAGTTTGCTCTGGAGCCATCCCTTCCTGAGCGAAGACAAAAATATGTTTTAAATAAACAAATAGTCCCATGATCCCCTCTGAGTCCTTCCCAGTCAGGCCCGTAGCTATGGTGGGGTCTTGGGGGGCTCTGCCCCCTTTCTTAAAGGCATACACTGCTAAATTTCAGACAGAGTAAAGCTCCCGCCACCCCTTTTGAAGCAAGGAAAGGCTTCCATATTTAATGTTAAAGTCTAAGGAAAATTGGCAGGAAAACTTACAAATAGTAAGTAACCCAGACCACACTGCAGCCACTTAGCTGGAAGAACAGTAGCACAAGGAGGAGGCAGGTGAACAAGGCAAGGGTATTTGGTGGCACAAGGAAGGCAAGGCCTCTGGGTGGGCGGGTGAGCAGGCAGCAGGAGGACCTTGACACAGA